TTTATATATATATATATATTATCAAATATATAATTACCTATTTTTTTTATAATTATAAATTATAAAACATATCTTAATATATATATATTTTAAATAAATTAAATAAAATATATATTTATATATTTTTTTAAAATAAAATAATCATAATAATAACAATATATTTTTCAATATTTTATATATTTATCGTCGTTATATATTCCAAATATATATATATATAATCAAATAAATATAAATTATATATTTATTCGAATTAAGAATTATATTAATTTTTAAAATCCAAAATATTTTAGGAAAATTAAATAGAATTTTAATATTATATATATATGAATATTAGGAATATGTAGTAGTCCTTGTTGTATGTATTTCTGTGTTTTTTTATTTTATAATTATAATTTTTCGATTTGATAAGATAAATAGGATATGGTATATTATAATATGGAGATATATGGTGATATATGGTTGTTGATCAAAATTGTTTTATTCCGGAACGGACATTCTTCGCGAATAAGGAATTTTATTTTCGCGAATTCCATGTTTATCTTTCGCGGGGTCCATGTTGGCCAACAACACCTCTTATGAAGATTTGTTCACCATCTGCCAAATTACGCCAGAGAATCACGGATCACTTCTTGGTAGCCTTTTAAACATGCAGCTAGCATCACGGAATCCCTTCTCAGGGCAAATTTTTTTTGCAAAGTTTACTGGCCCACCCCCTTCAACATGCACTTTGACTTTCGCCCGCTCTTTCGCATAACTTTCGCGGAACTTTCGCGAAAATATCCGTATTCACAGACCCCGGCCATCAGCAGGGGGTGCACTGAAGGAAAAGCGAAGACCAGGGGCCTTGGTGTTTGGCTCTCGCAAAGCATCACTTTTGGAAACTTGGCTACTGCTACTCGCATTCTCTGGTGCCCTTCTCCTGCCGGACCCCGGGCGGCAGTGGGTGGCAGCCCTTTACATATAATGATTATAATACCCAACTTTCGCAAAACTTTCGCGAAATAAAATTTTACTTTCGCGAACTCGAAAAAAACTTTCGCGAGGATTTCCAACATAACATGCACGGCTTTCGCAATTAAAACTCCTTACAAGGACCTTTAGATCGATCACCATATATTTTCCTAATATTTAATATATAAATTTTATTATTATCATAAATTCGGAACCCATAATATCGAAATCCATGACGTTGGAAAATTGCATTTTTTTTCCAGAATATATGGTCTCTATAGAATAGGAACCCATGACGTTGGATATGGTTATTATCCAGCAGATTAACATTATTATAAAATGTTGATCTGACCTCCTCAAGAAAATTGTATAAAATGGAAAGTTCACTCGAGCCCTAAAAATGAGAGATAAAATGCGTATTAAAAAAATGCTCTTTGTCCGGGGGATGTTCCCCCCCCCATTCTGTAGAGGAAATTCTTAAGAGGTTGTTTCTGATTATATTATCATTATCTTAATTTATCCGTTCTCTATCTATCTGATTGCCTGGTGGTTTGGAACGTGTTACGTTGGTTATCTATTGTTCTGTCTCTTCATAATGTTGTTGTCATGTCCCTCCCTTGCCCTGGTATCCGGTCGTTTTGTCAAAATTTAAATTTAGGAGCCTGTTTGTTGACCTATTTAAGTTTCCTCGTGATGCCCATGGGATTTTGCTTCACTAATACATTTCTTTCCAGAGCATATGAAGGTCGTCCACCAATTGGCTGGGTACACGCATGATTTATGCGTGAACGGAAGCGCAACGTCATCCAAAAGTCCATGTTCCACGGCTTCCAGCGCTTGGTCTTTCCAAAGCTTGTCGTCATTTCAGAAGTGCCCAAGCTGCTTTGCATGCGGTCAGCCTGCAAAGAAGTGCGAGAAGCACAGAGGCGCAGGGGCCACTGGTGGCCAATGCATACAAACCCTGCAAGGCAATGGACACGAGCTCCGCAAGCCATCAGCCTTTGGTCTTAACCTTCTGATCTTCCTGTTTTTGTTGCCTTAAACAGGTGGCGACAAGGTGGAACTTCAAATGCCAAATCTGCAGCCGGAAACTTTGGGCCACACCCTGGGCACAGGATGGCCAGGTATGTTGCGCTAAGAACCTAACACTGTCGTAATGTCTGCGAATTGCTTCGCAATGGCGTCAGCCTCGAACTGTGGGCGTTTCGCCGACCAGCTAGTCGGTAAGTCGCAACAAACTTTCCACAACAAAATTCCGAGAGTCCTAAAATTGCCCCCAAGACACCAAGATGGAATCTAGATGAATCTAGCAAACCGCTGGTGGCAAATTAGCTGCCAGCTGCAAGTGAACTTAAGTGAACTCCATGTCTTTGAGCTTTGGACCGTAATCTTTCCAATCTCTTGCTGGGAAGCCACCTGGCATGCCATGGGAGCCATGGGAGCCATGGAAGACTGGCTTCGCTGTGCCCCCGACCTTGACCACAATGTCTTTGCCGGACACGCTGGGTGAAACCCAGCCTTCATCTGGTCCTGGAGATGCCCCGGATTGCCGGCGGCTGACGGTCTACCCAAAACACAATAGCTCGATTTAAGGAAATAGTCCTAGATATAGTACATGTGTATTCATATAAAATCATTTACAAATAGAATTCATATAGAATATTATACAGTATTGATAACAAAACACATCTATAATTTTAAATAAAAATATAAAATCACATCCAACCAACTATCATTTACATATGTCATCACTATATCATTGCTGGTCATATACCATCATGACTCTCCATGTATCATCAAAACTCATCATATACGATCAAAACTCATCACATTCCATCAAAAGTCATCATGGAACATCTCAATTTGGAAGGATTCAAACATCCTGTTTCGGAGACAGAAAGAAAACCACCCGGCCAACATGTCATTACATGAGGGGAAGGGGCTGCTTACAAATGGGTCCCATATCCTCAATAAATTCTCAATCAACTCCCAGCGGTAGCCAGCTATCAGCATCGAAATCTACACAATCCATCAACGTCTCTGCGATTGAGAAAGCCCGTCATCTTCACCGAAGAAACTGAGCGCCCGCACCAATGCCTTTCAACCTTTTGACATGGAGTCTGCTGCCAGTTTTGTTGGCGCCAATCTCCTAACACGGCAAGGCCGGCGCACACCTTGAAGCAGAGATAAAGGGCCCAGAAATGCTCAGAAAACCCATTGAAATGCCTCCAAGAAACCCGGCATCAACTATTTGGCGCTGGTTTTATCCCGATATGCGCTGGTTAGATACCCAGTCACTGCATGAGTTGTTTGATTGCCTGCGGAAAAACAAATACGCACATGTATATATTACATCTGCATACAGGCATACACATAATATATATATATATATCTGTGCATAGTATATTGTACTGTTTGTGCGCAAAGGGAAAAGAAACAAGCACATGTATGTTGACTGTTTTTGACCTAGGTATAGAATGTTATAATTAATGTTGACTCCAGATTAATAACCCCCCCTATAGGTCAACAAGGTCAATAAGGTCCAGTCAGGGAGTCCAAAAACCAAACCCCCGAAATAATGTACCTTTCTTTCATCCATGAACCAATGTTGCTGGAATTAGCGTGCAAATAAGCACCGATGGAGCGTCAATTCTATGGGAATTAGCTGCATAGTAGCATCCATGAGGTATCAAATTTGATAAACTCAGCTATAAATTAGCATCCATGAAGGGTTGAATGGCTTGAATTTGGAGGGAATTAGTTGGACATGGCCATTAATAAGGCATTAGTCTTTTAATGGAAACAGCTGCGTCGTAGCATCCACGAAGGGATGATTTTTCCCCATTTTTTGCGTCTTGAAATTGCCAAATGGCAAAGAGATTCTTGCGAGGTGGATGAGGAAAGATCAAGCAATGTTGATGTAGTTGTTGAATTAATTCATTAGTTAATTGATTGCAAACTGAAGCACGCATAGAAAAAACTTATCGCGGCTGGGTGGGATTTACTAATTGGGGGGGGCGTAGTCTTATTTGTGGGGGGGTAGCTTTTCTGAGCTCCCAAAAACAGCTTTTTCTTATTAGATTTTAATTAGAAATCGATCATTTGGGGGATGAGTTGTTTCTTTTAACTTTTGGCGTCTTGAAAGTGCCAACTGGACAAAAACATTCCTGGGAGGTGGATGAGGAAACATCAGGCAATGCAATGGTGATGTAATTGTTGCCAAAAAATAGATAACGGCACATGAAGCCAGCATAGAAAAAGACTCTTTGCGGCTGGTGGGGTTTACTAATTGTGCCAGCATGAGACGAATCAAAATAGGAATAAGGTGGGAATGGATCACTAAGTAACCCTGGAAATTGTAACCCGAATTAAAAAGTAAAAGGGAGTAGCAAATTAGTCCCACCAAAAATTTGGGGATCCCGGAGGGGTTTGATTAATTGGGGGGTCGGAAACTATTATTAGGGGGGTAAACAGCACCTAATTGACTTTAGTATTGCCCCAAAATCGCAGGAGAGAATGGGTATGATTAATTGGGGGGCTTTATTAATCCTAAGTCAACAATATCCAATTTACACCGCCATCCCCCCATCAACAAAGCCAGCTTCATGGCTCCGCCCTTCCAGGCCCCTCCTCCAGCACCGCAAACTCCTTCAGCCAATGAGTTAATCAGCATCTAGGTGGTCACTTCAGGTTGCGGCTAACATATCCCCTATTTCTCTTAACTTTTACTACGGAAATCATCTAAAATTATTAAATCATCGTCATTTGATCCATGTATTTTTCATGGTTGATCATTTGAACATGCTTCAGATGTTCTACTTCCTGGCTCAAAGAGTGCGTCATATCATGGTCCTCATGGACCCCTCTGAGCCCTGCCGTCTCCTTGAATCGGCCGCACTCATCCGACTTCAATGCCTTCCAGTGGGGCGGTTTCAAGCCAAAAAAGGTGGTGAAATTCAGGTGGCTTTCCCAAGTACCAATGCTTTGGAAAGGGTGCGCTCATTGTCATTTGGTAAGCTTCAGTAAGGAACAAAAATCAAATGGATCCCAATGGATCTAAATGGATCCGCATGGCATTGCATGGCGCCTGGTTTGAAATTGGTATTGCCCCATTGCCATTGCATCCCATGATGCCTCTGTGATTCCCGGTCGCATGTTTGAAGTTCTCTGAAGAACTGGTTCGTCATTGAGCAACCAATCCCAACAATACCAACTAGTCAATTGGCATGATCAGCCCATATCATATCTTATGGGATGGAGCCTCAAAAAAGGATCCACCAACGACAACACAATTGAGTCATCATCCAATCCCTAAGGATAGCCGTATTTGAACCCATCAACCTGTATCGACCATGATTTTTTGAAAAACACATCAAAATCAACATATCAAAATCAACAAATCAAAATCACCCTGAATTTGGAGATACAAATGTCAACATTTGATCAACACCTAATGGATGCTCCACTTTTAAACGGTGCCATCCTGGCCTCTCCTTTTCGGGCCAGGCAGCCACCGGAGGACTTCACGTACCTGCCACGGCAGGGTTCCATCCCAAATGTCTTGGCACTTTCCTTGATCTTCCAGGGATTTGCAGGTAAAAGCATAAAAGCCACAAAATCAGCCAACAATGTATACACATTATCACATTATATATATATAAATATATATATATATATAAATCTTCAAAAAAAACATGTAAAAATCGTGGTATCCTAGGTGGGCTGGAGCACCAAAGCTTCTTCTTCATGAAAATCTCCACCATCTTGCCGTACTTGTCTATCTGATCACTGGTATAGGCCTGGCTGGCCCATGGCCTGCTGAAGCGGCTCCAATCCTATGCCGATGCTCGTAGTATGAATAATATGAAATCGCACCAACATGGGACCCCAAAAAGGAATACTTCTATGTATTTAATACTAAACCTAAGCTTTTGATTGGGGTATTTATTACTTGGCCAAAGGGTGTGAACAGAATGCTTCCCTGGTCAGGAATCCGAACCGTGCCCTCAAACAGGCAACCTAAATACTCGTGTCCTCCGTTCGTCACTCATGCTCCTCGCTACGTCCATTCCCAACCATCCATAATCAAAACTGAAGACATGGTTGAAGTCTGCTCCTGGCCTTCATGGGTGGGTACTTCTCAGCCAGATCCATGCTCCACTTGGCAAACATCTGCAGGCCATTGATTTACCGGCCAAGCATTAAAGCTTTCCTACAGGATTTCCCTTGAATGAGTTCTTGGAATCAGAGACGGTTTGACAGATTCTTGCCTATCATCACCTCTTTTTGAGGTGGCTAACCATTGTCTGACCACCCAAAGGTTTACAAACCTGTGTGGTGGCCCAAAACCTGCAGCTTGTTGGCCACGCTGGTCACTGCATTCCGAGATCTAGCTGGTTGGGTGGTTGATCCACCCATCCTTAAGAATTCGAGCCATTTAAAAATTTGGGAACATCGAAATCATTCTACATCATTCTAAATCCAAGTTTTTACCGATAGCAAAAGTATGAATGTCTGATATTTGAATCTGCCCGGCAGAGTTGGGCACAAATGTCCCACAATCTCCGCGCCTGTGAGGGCTCCACCAGCTTTTTGAACCTATTGTGTGCTACTTTGAGCCTGGCCCAACTTTGAAAAGATTAGGTGACAGGCTCTGGCCAGATTTCAGCTGCAGGACCTACATCCCTCCCCATGGGAATCTTCAGGAGTCCAGCAGGGCCAGCTTTTGGACACAGCGGCGAAAAAAAGAAGGATACTTCTGCGGCGAAGCTGTGCCTTTGTTCCAAAGCATCCCTCTTTTTCTTCCAGGTTCCATCGTCCACCTGGCCGGGACCCCCATGCAACTCGTTGGAAGTTTTCAACTGCCAAACAATTGTAATCAAAGACCATGATCAAAATACATCCAAATACACACACGACATCACAAAGACTCGTAGCGTGGACCTCTTTCTTGAACTTCTCAATGAACTCGATTGCGGTTTGTGTGCCGTCCTCCTGGGGCTTGGCCCAGATTGAAGGCACGTATGGTGCCAAGAAATTGGTAAAGGAACGCTCCCTGCCACTTTATGCCACTTTTGGGTTATATTATGTTATATTTCCCGCCAAGTGTGCAAGGGACCCTACAACATCAGGACTTCATTCTGGAACACATCTGCTACCGTAATTTCGTGTATTTCCTCACAACTATTCCCGCACTCCCACATGCAAGAAGGGTAAGTTCTCCTTCTGCATGACCTCTGCGAGCTTCTTGCAGTTTTCCAGGATTTTCGGATCCTCCACACTTGGGGAATCTCTCAGAGATTCTCAGAGATTGCCATGGGCATCCAGCCAAATCGATTCACACCGAAGGTGTGTCCCACCAAGTTTCTTTAACGCAGGAGTCAAGAATCAATGTTCATTATTCACTAAACTTAGTAAGTACCCTGGATCGGAGGGGTTTAGATCGGAAACAAATCTCTAACCAACAGTAAGATGATAAAAACAAACAAAACCGAAGGAAAATGATATAATATGAAAAAATGGAAAAATGAAAAAAAAACAAAGAAAATTAATTTTTATTGTCTAAAACCAAATGCACATGGCCATCGTCATAATCCACCAAACGTGTTATTTCTGGTGATTTTTGAGTTCATTAATCACATCTTTATACTTTTCGGTGTTGTGTGCATTTCTGGTAGGTAACCTTAAAAAAAATCTAAAATGTCTCTGTTTATACTTCCATCTTTTCCACCCGTTCCTGATATATAAATAACGTGTCTTGCCTGTCTTATATAATCCCGATGGGCTTCTGTATGCATTTGTCAATCCGTGTCTGTCTTCTGTTGCTTTTGTGTTGGCTATGTTCCTTTCTTCTTTATACAGTGTTGTATTTTGTCTGAATTGCTCATTAAGATTTCTTGCAAAGTTGTTCATCTTCTCATCTAAGTATCTTTGTTTCTTGTCCGTGTCGTTCATCAACTCTTCTCTTCCTTGACGCATTAATTCATCAAATGCTACTCTACCTATTCTTTTTGCGAATAATCTCATCTCTTCTCTTGTTAATACATGTTCTATTGCTTCACTTCCCATAATTCTCTGAACAACCTCTCTCCCAAATTGCCTTCCCACCTGTCTCAATGCATTAGTCATTGCTATTCTTCCAACTCCTGCTACAACTCCAATCATTTATTTTTATATTAATGTTTGATAAAAATCATTTCTAATAATAGATCTAATCATGAGTCATGAGTAATAGATAAACATATAAAACTATTTTTGTAGATAGTAAGTATCGCAATGCTCAATCAAAATCTTCATCTGACTTTTCAGTGGAGTTAAACGAAAACTCAGAAACACCAGAGGAAACAAAACTCTATGTAACTGATATTTCTATTCCAGCGGTGTGGAAATCTACAGAGGTGGGCTTCTATGAATATATTTATGTTGTGGTCTTCAATGGCGATACATTAGTCAAAATATTAGGGTATATTTAGGTAATATTATGGTAAACTGTGATTAAAACATGAAACAATCACAAGAAAGAAATCAAAATGAAAATAACAAATCTCAAAAAATCTCAAAAAAGCTCAAAAAATCTCGCAAAAAAGTAAATTATGTTTAACAAAAAATCTCAAAAAATCTCAAACTTGATGATAGCATGAAAAAATAAAGGTGCAAAACCCCCCAAAAATGTGTTTTTTTGTTTTTTTTCATGTTTTTTGATTATATATTGCATGTGATTGTTGAATTTATTGCTGCAGTCATTTGTCTTTCAGGGATTCGCAGGACGCAGCAGCTTCCTTTGCTGAACCTGTTGGCAATGATGACCATAACATAAATATATTCAAAGAAGCCCGCCTCTGTAGATTTCCACACCGCTGGAATAGAAATATCAGTTACATAGAGTTTTGTTTCCTCTGGTGTTTCTGAGTTTTCGTTTAACTCCACTGAAAAGTCAGATGAAGATTTTGATTGAGCATTGCGATACTTACTATCTACAAAAATAGTTTTATATGTTTATCTATTACTCATGACTCATGATTGGATCTATTATTAGAAATGTTTTTTATCAAACATTAATATAAAAATAAATGATTGGAGTTGTAGCAGGAGTTGGAAGAATAGCAATGACTAATGCATTGAGACAGGTGGGAAGGCAGTTTGGGAGAGAGGCTCTTCAGAGAATTATGGGAAGTGAAGCAATAGAACATGTATTAACAAGAGAAGAGATGAGATTATTCGCAAAAAGAATAGGTAGAGTAGCATTTGATGAATTAATGCGTCAAGGAAGAGAAGAGTTGATGAACGACACGGACAAGAAACAAAGATACTTAGATGAGAAGATGAACAACTTTGCAAGAAATCTTAATGAGCAATTCAGACAAAATACAACACTGTATAAAGAAGAAAGGAACATAGCCAACACAAAAGCAACAGAAGACAGACACGGATTGACAAATGCATACAGAAGCCCATCGGGATTATATAAGACAGGCAAGACACGTTATTTATATATCAGGAACGGGTGGAAAAGATGGAAGTATAAACAGAGACATTTTAGATTATTTATTAAGGTTACCTACCAGAAATGCACACAACACCGAAAATATAAAGATGTGATTAATGAACTCAAAAAATCACCAGAAATAACACGTTTGGTATCACATGTTCCTCAGATAATATATAATCCACCAATTTATATTTGTATATACCCATTTGTACCCCAACCAAATAAAAAATGAGATAAAATGAGATAAAATGAACAAAATGATTTAAAAAATGCGTTTTAATGGGATAATATGCTTAAATATGTGAAAAAGTGTTTTTAAATGCATTTTTAAGTTATTTTGAGTTTATTTATGCGCATGGGGGTTCACAAAGTCTTCTGATCTAAACACAGCTGATCTAGGGTACTTATTTATTTTGGTGAATTATTCATTTTATTCATCCATGTCTGGGTAAGGAACCAATCAACCTGCAAAACCAAAGTTTACCCACCGATCGACTGCATGCGACCAGCGCCTCGCAGCACCTCTTGATCTTCGCCTGTGAAAAAGATGAAGTCGCACACTGAAACAGCAACCAATACAGCATCCTTTCAACCAACCTGAAGAGTAGTGCCCTTCTTACTCAAATAAACCAACAAATAAAACTGAATAACGCTGAATAACACTTATTCATCTTATTACTCATTCTTTCTATCCGTATCTATCTCTCTCTATGTATATGTCATTTATCATTTGATGCTACTTTCTGCAAAGCTTCTCATGCCACTGATCCAGCCAGCGCCAAGCTGCTCCAAGCTCTTTCGCAGAGAGCTGGGACAGGTGCACAGTCCCCTCACCATGCCTCAGTAATGTGGTTGGCCAACAAACCATCCCCTGGTAGTTTCAGTCATGGGGGGCTTGCCACATGAAGGTCAAACCATGAGATGATGATACGATGTATATAATCATCCAGATGTTGGACTGTATCTAAATAAATAAATAAATATATATATATATATACTGATCATGAATGAACTACACTAATGACTACAATGATGATATATATATATATATGGATAAAATGATATATATATATATATATGTGTGTGTGCATGTAAACACTGACTATCAATGTCCATCTTCTGCTAGTGACTGCAATATGTTCTCTTGTTCCGTCAGCCCAACCCTGCAAGGGAGCCCATGGATTCCCAGCCCATCTTTGGACAGCTTCTTCGCGATGTCTTTCTGTGCCACAGGATTGGAGCGCCACTAAAGTCTGAAATATTGAAACCTCAAGGGGCCAACTAAAACCAGAGCATACTACAAATCAAAGTTTTGTTGTACCACCAATCATACCAATTCAACTGGTTGGTGGTTTCAACTTTGCTGAAAAAGATGTAGGATCATCATTGCAAATGCGACCGAAAGTGTTAGGAGTAGGAGTGTTCCAAAATATTCCAAAATCGGAGGCCCACAATCCATCAAATTGATCAAAATATGCCAGGTCAGAAATGGTTCAAGTCGATGATGTAACATTATAATCCCACTCTACCACCATTTTGGGTGGTAATCCCCACTTTTGTTGGTTGAACTGTATTAAATCCCGCTTTCATGCAGTTTTTGTAGGTTAAATTGCAAATTTTCATAGGTAAATATCATTAAGTTCACATTCTTGTTGGTATTTCATACCTGTCGTTGCCACTGCTGTCATCGCCCCCAGCCTGGTCTGCAAACACCGGAGTGACCAGGGTTGGCACTCCAGCACTCAATGAAGCCTCGAATCTGTCCACAATCTGTCCACAAGTTGGTACGTTTTCAAGTGAAGAATCTCAACTACCCTTTCGGGACATGCCCAAAAGGTCAGGCGCCAACGTCAACATCCTAAATTAACAAACCATCGGCTCAGAAATGGATCTAAAGAGTTGCAAGGATAAGAGGGAAAGTCCCAGAAAGCCAATGGGCCCGTGGCTGAGGAATAAGGGGATGATGCAATGGCATCCCATCACTATGTTGAAGGGTTGGATTCCATGTGCTGGCTCAACTGATCGAAAGCGTCTCAAGATGTCCCAAGTCATGTGGAAGTGATAGGCTCACCGAGTGCAAAATCCAAGACAACATGGCTGGCAATGCCTGCGCCGTGCCGATGCCACCATGATGCACACAGCCTAAAATTGGCGTGAAGGGTCGGGGCAAAACTGCCTTCCCTCTGAGAAATTTGGGGTGGGCCTTTGGGCTGGGTGGGATCTGATGCAGAAATCCAGCCAAGAGTGACACAGTAGGTACAACCCACACCTAGGGATCCTGGGGGCACATACCACTGACATTGGGTCCTTGATGGTGCTTGTTTTCAAGGAACTGACATGTCCCGGAAAGGGTCAGAATTTCTGGCTGCCCACAGCATGCCTCGGGAAGCGCCGGGCACCCGTACAAGCACATTGTGGGAAGAGCCACTCATGCGGAGCGGACTGGCCAGGTCATGGCGTGGATTTTTGAGCCTACGGGTTGAAAACCGAACCAGCGTTTTGCATGTTTCTATGTCTTTCATGGGGTTAACGGGGTGGGGTGGGTAATAACGTTCATTTGCACTGCCTGACATACATGATGCTACGCTGCTGTACGTCTTTTTGCACTTCCTTACATGCATGATGCTACGCTGCTGTACGTCTTCTTGCGTGTCCTCACATACATGATGCTACGCTGCTGTACGTCGTCTTGCACTTCCTCACATATATGATGCTACGCTAGTGTACGTCGTCTTGCACTTCCTCACATACATGATGCAACGCTACTGTATGTCGTCTTGCACTTCCTCACATATAATATGATGCTACGTTAGTCTACGTTAGTCTTGCTCAATGGCAAGATTTGGATGCATGTTCGCGCTTGGCAGTGGAGATGGGAAAACAGTTCCCACAAAAACCTCTCCAAGCCCACTGCAGAAATTGTGAAGAACACTTAGCGCAGAAAAAAAGAGAGTGCCGCTGAGTTTTTTTTACATATCCAGTGAAAAGTACGCGCGTACTTTTTAAGGAAATTGAACTTTGAGAGAGATGCAAAACCACTGTGATTTGTGGTATGAAATCAATGACGAACACTGCAAACGTTGAAAACGCGGGTTCGATAAACAACCCGCCGGGATGTTTGACCAAGGCTGTGAGACGGTCCCCAGTGCCCAGCCTTGAGGAAGAGGACGTTGTTTCTGCTGTATTCCTTGCCAGGAGTGTGTCCAAAAAAGCGGGAATAGGGGGATCCGGGGGATACCCTTGGATCCATCAGCAAATTTATGTTTCCATGTTTCTTGGCGATGGGGCAGGGGAAGGTAGGGGTATTTTACTTATTATACAATAGCCAATGGCAATCATGATTCCATTGGTTACTACTTGAGTCATCCCCTCGCTTTCAGTAGATAAACCCGGGCGACCAGCCCGAGCAGTTGCTAAGGAGGGAGCCTTCAGATCCTCAGCATCGTCACCACCCAGCGACCTCAGAAGCTGATGATGCCCACTGATCACTGTCATCTCTTGATTATTGCACGACATGTTATCACTGTTTGCTGTTTTGATGTATTTCTTATCACCACCACCACCATCATCATCCTCACCACTTATTTATGTTGCTACCATTCTCCTTGATGACATGATGATATGTGATGACCATTGAATTGATCCATCTTCGGCAACTTCCAGAGGTGCTGACTCTTCAGACAGCTCGGCCCAACCTCCAACGATGATACCGCGCTTACCAGCCTCCATGGAGGCCAGTGGGGGCCAGGAGCCAGTTCCATCATCTGCCAAGCACTACCTTTGGCTTTTCTTTACATTTTTTTTGGCATGCAAAGGTTCAGATAGGGTGCAGCCTTTGAACACATACCCTCCACATGACTCACATGTCCTTCTATGTCCACGCTCTGAGACTTAAACATCATCAGCTGAAATGGTGGAACACAATGGCTGACCCCGACCCCCCAAAAACTGGGCCTCTTTCAAGGATCCCACGGCCAAGCGTGCCATATGCTCCTGCAAAAGGGGCAAAACAGGTGGATATCAGAATATCAGGTGATTGCCATTGGCTTATTTCGAAATTCGCTCCCATGCCCATGATCAATCATGATCAGGGGTTGGAGTCTCGTGAAAGCTGCTGGGCTTGTGTCATTCCTTTTCTGCACCCTCCAGCTTGCGCTCCAACATGCTCCAACCGTCAATCAGCCCAAAGGTTCCGAATCACGTGATGCAACGCCATTCAACGGCAGAACCTATCATCTCAGAACTTACGCGTGGTGACATGTCCCATTCAAACACCACCTATTCCATTAAGGGACCACTACAAATAACCATCTTAGGGTTATGTGTATATACCTATCCATCCATTTATCTATCTATCTACCTAATTATCTTTCTATCTATCTATCTAATCTAATCTAATCTAATCAAATCAAATCAAATCAATCAATCTATCTACCTATCTAACATCCCTGTTATATGGGAAATGCTGATGCATTTTCCAAGCCCTGTTGCAAGCTTTGAGCGGCCGTTTGTGTCTTTTCGGCAGCGGTGTCAAAGCTCTGAAGCATCTTTCCTGAGTTGCTGGCCGACCAGTGCTATTCCTACTGGATAGTGCATCGCCGAAAACTGCTGCTGGGTTTACATGGTTTGGAGTAACACCCAAAAATAGAAAATGCCATCATTCTAGTTGGGTTGTACTTTTCCTTGAAATGGTGTTGTAAATCAAACATGTGATACTGATGAGCCCACCAACGGCTGGTCTTGTCCAAGGTTAGACATGCTTCTACGTGCTGAGATCATGCAATTTTGGAGGTTGATCAATTTCACCATACCCAGCTGAGAACTTAATTAGCCGTCCCAGACTAAACTAGACATGACTGGATCCCTCGTACATGATTCACATTCAACATGCCCGGTGCGGGAAATCGACCAAGTGACCTCCTCGTTAATATGCACTTTGTTCCTGAGCCATGAGCCGCGTCGCTTGGATTTCGTGCTGTTTGCACGAAATCCGCTTTGCATTTGCATCTTACTTGAAACTTCGTGTCCTGTGAGCTTCTCAAGAGTTTCAAAATCATTCCAGTGGAAAAAAACATGGACCAACTGACCAACTGGACTGGAGTCACCATTGTGCTGTCCGTTCCCTGCCTGACCCTTTCTTGCCCTCCTCATAGCCGAATTCGCAGTCAGCAATCCTGGATCATTGGCGGGTCACTGTCCTGGAATGTTTAACATAAGAAGCTTCGGGAAGACTATTCAGGAGGCCTGGGGATCCCAACAGTAAACGGCGGCAAATATAGCTATATATAACTATATATGTATATATATATAACTTAACTCTATATAATTCTATCTTTCTATATATATATATTTATTTATATCTATGTATGTGCATATGTGTGCGTATAGTCGCATGTATTAATATCTGTGTGTATACAGGAGTATTTTGAGACACAGTTAAGCCTCAACCAGTTCACCACGAAAATAGGCCCAGGTTGAACCTAGCCAAACATTCCAGTGCTGGTTGCCAATCGGCATCAGCTTGCTAAGAGATGCTAAGAGAGCAAACTAAATGACGGCCAATGATCAGTGTCAAACCTGGAGGGCCAAAACAATTCCGACACAACCTGACCAACGTCCATGGGAGTCCGGGGGCTCTCCTGAACAAGAACTCCGATGTATCAAAGCCCTTAACTTTCAGCGCCTGGAGAGATTGGGCTGGAGGATGCTGGAGGGATTGTATGGCTACAATCCACCCAATTCAGGAACATACCTTAAGTTTTTTGTCCAACACGCCTAGTCTTACTTCCCATTATTCTTGATGAATAATGATAATTTTTAATTAAAGTCAAGGCTCGTCTCGATGCCATTTCGGCCCGCCCACTGTTACCATCTATGGAGCTTGGTCTTTGACGGTTGCTAGAGCAGGAAAATATCTTATCATCTCATGGCTCATGGCCAGTTTTTGTGTGCCAAAGTCCCCTTGCTAGTTATATAATTGTACTCAATACTTATCCCCATGTTTGTCAGACAGATTTTTCCCCCACATTGACGTGTGGGGTTTTTGTTTTTAGTTCTGTATCCGCTCCTCGTCCTCCTCGTCCTCCTCCTTCCCGTCCTCCCTCCTCAACACTCACTCACTCACTCACTCACTCACACTCACTCTCACTCACTCACTCACTCACTCACACACACACACACTCACACTCACTCACTCACTCACTCACAAACTCACTCACACTCACTCACTCACTCACTCACACTCACACACTCACACTCACTCACTCACACACTCACACTCACACTCACTCACTCACTCTCACTCACTCACACTCACTCACTCTCACTCACTCACACTCACTCACTCACACAATCACTCACTCACTCTCACTCACTCACTCTCACTCACTCGCTCGCTCGCTCACTCGCTCACTTACTCACTCTCACTCACTCACTCACTCACTCACTCACTCACTTGGGCTCCGCTGCTTTTGCGTGGCAGGCGTGGGACAATGTGCACTGCCAAGGGGTCGGATGTACGCCCTGGCGTCCCTCGGGCTCCGCCTCTTTTGCGTGGCAGGCGTGGGACAATGTGCACTGCCAAAGGGGTCGGATGTACGCCCTGGCGTCCCTCGGGCTCCGCGTCTTTTGCGTGGCAGGCGTGGGACAATGTGCGCTGCCAAGGGGTCGGATGTACGCCCTGGCGTCCCTCGGGCTCCGCCTCTTTTGCGTGGCAGGCGTGGGACAATGTGCACTGCCAAGGGGTCGGATGTACGCCCTGGCGTCCCTCGGGCTCCGCGTCTTTTGCGTGGCAGGCGTGGGACAATGTGCACTGCCAAGGGGTCGGATGTACGCCCTGGCGCCCTCCGGCGTACCTCGTCTCCTTGGGTCTCCGCCTCTTTTGCGTGGCAGGCGTGGGACAATGTGCACTGCCAAGGGGTCGGATGTACGCCCTGGCGTCCCTCGGGCTCCGCCTCTTTTGCGTGGCAGGCGTGGGACAATGTGCACTGCCAAGGGGTCGGATGTACGCCCTGGCGTCCCTCGGGCTCCGCCTCTTTTGCGTGGCAGGCGTGGGACAATGTGCACTGCCAAGGGGTCGGATGTACGCCCTGGCGTCCCTCGGGCTCCGCCTCTTTTGCGTGGCAGGCGTGGACAATGTGCACTGCCAAGGGGTCGGATGTACGCCCTGGCGTCCCTTGGGCTCCGCCTCTTTTGCGTGGCAGGCGTGGGACAATGTGCACTGCCAAGGGGTCGGATGTACGCCCTGGCGTCCCTTGGGGCTCCGCCTCTTTTGCGTGGCAGGCGTGGGACAATGTGCACTGCCAAGGGGTCGGATGTACGCCCTGGCGTCCCCTCCGCCCTGGCGCCTCCCTCGGGCTCCGCCTCTTTTGCGTGGCAGGCGTGGGACAATGTGCATTGCTGGTGGCTTTTGTGTGGCAGGTGTGGCACGCACTCACATCACTCACTCAATCACTCACTCATTCACTCACTCACTCACTCACTCACTGACACATTCACACACACACTCACTCACTCACTCACTCACTCACTCACTCACCCACTCACCCACTCACCCACTCACCCACTCACCCACTCACCCACTCACCCACTCACCCACTCACCTTCACTCACCCACCTCACTCACACCATCACTCACTCACTCACTCACTCACTCACTCACTCACTCACTCACCCACGCACCCACCCACCCACTCACTCACTCACTCACTCACTTACTCATTCACTCACCTGTGCATGCGCATACACACACACATACACAAAAACTCACCCACCATCACCCCTCCATCACTCTTATACTTCCTCTTCCCTTCTTGCTTTTCTATGCTCAGTCTAAGTCTAGAGAAGTTGGTAACATGTGGGGTTATCCGGTCCTATAATTAATTTAATTAAGTAATTAATGGATTTCTATGTTGCCAAGCCCGTGTTTGGCTTAAGACTGGTGGGGGGGGGTCCGGAGGGGGAAACGGAGGGGGGGGGGTGGTGCACGGCAAGGTGCTAAAATTTCAAAAATAGGTGCTCAAATTTAAGGAAATAGGTGTTTTTTTGAAGAAACCGGGTCGGGATCCAGTCGGGACCCAGTCGGGACCCAGTCGGGACCCAATCGGGCACCAATTTTTGCATTTTTGGGCACCGCTTTTGGCCAGTCGGGATCCAGTCGGGATCCAGTCGGGCACCAATTTTCGAATTTTTGGCACCACGTTTGGACCTGTCGGGAAGCAGCCAAAATCACCCAAAAACATGCAAAAACACTGCAAAAATGCTATTTTTTATTTGGCTGCTTCCCGACATTGGTGCCCGACTGGATCCCGACTGGCCAAAAGCGGTGCCCAAAAATGCAAAAATTGGTGCCCGACTGGGTCCCGACGGGATCCTGACTGGATCCATAGATCGGCAAGAACCCACTCCCGCACCTATTTTTCCCTTCCCAGACCCACCCTTGCCCCTATTTTCCTTTTCCGCGCACCAGCCGTGCACCAATACCCCCCCCCTCCTGCACCAAAACGGCAAAAGCAGTCTTAAGCCAAACGGGGGTTCTACAATTTCTATGGATTTCTTCATGGCTATCTTTCTTTATTTTGAACTAGATACCTGTCCCCATTAAATCGGTCAGAAATTTGAAATCCTACTTTATCGGGGAAACTACTAATCTTCACCACTGAAATTGAACCGGCCTGGCAGCCGCGGGGGTCAAACTTTTCGCCGTGGAACCAAACGTGGATGCCTAGGGGCACGCCTGGGGTTGTCCTCTGGTGATATGCCCAGTACATGAATTTCAGAGTAACTCACAAACGGGACATTAAGCAACGTTTGGGCTTTTGGGAAGATTCCTATGGATTCCCATGGATTCCCCTTACCCAACATCATACTTACGGTATCTTACCGTAGTGAAGGTTAAATGGGCTGCCCAAATAGGCCCCAACATGTTGCTGATCCTAGAGGTGACTGCATGGCTTTGCTGGTCAGAACTGTGTTTTCCAAACGAAGACTCGAAGAACCAGGGGCTACGATGACTTTCAACTTGATAGTTGGAGGATCATTTCAGCTCGTCACGGATTAGTACATGGATGTAAATGGAGTTGTAATCCACTTACAGTATATATAGCCCCAGTTAGGGGACTTACTAGCCAGGGCTTTTAACCATTTGCTAAGTCGATCCTCGAAGTAGGATCTTCCCGCAGAGCTTCAATCCTTGGCAAATAAGGCTGCGGCTGATGCTCCGCACTGGAGGGGACTGGACAAAGTGAAACCTGAGCGCAACGACAAGCACTACGGCTACATCATGAATATATATAAATACCCTCTGGGAATCAACTGTGGCAATGGAACATCCGGTGAAAATCCTCTATAAATGAAGGTTTACAGTAAGTTTAAATGAGAAAATCACCCATCAAATTTGGAATCACACTTGGAATTGCTGGTCACTGAGCACGACCGTCAGAATGTCTTCTGATTTGCGCCTGAAGTTCTTCTTAAAAGATCTTAAAAGCCCTTTGGGCAACCAATGGCAACCAATACTCTTGTCACAACGGGCATTGCTCATGCAGACCATGGATCACATGGGTCACTATTCGGAGCTGCAAAACATCCCCAGTGCTTGGAAGCTGGCCATTGCCTGGGAATGAAAGCGCAGTCCCCAGCCCTCATGGTCATGTTCCACCACCTGGCCATCGCCACGGCACCCATGACTTGACTGTCTGAGGATCACAGCAAGTATACTACTCCTTGGGTTGGGGATGGTTGGGGCTTTTTGTTGGTGGTGTAAACATGTGTAAACCGCCTTGAAAGCCTTCAAATCTATCAATTCTCAAATATAATCAAATATGGCGTCGCAATGCATCGAACCGTCGAACATCAAACGGACTCTGAAGTTGTCAAATGCCAGAGGCCAGGCAAGCGGCATCCATAATTATCGCACATTATCGCTCAATTCTAACTCTCCGACCTTGGGGTGGTTCATCTTCGACACATGTTTAGATATGTTTAGATGAGGTTTATCAATTGGCAAAATTATTTGAGAAACGCATCTCAAAAAGGCCGTTTCTTGTGAATCCTGACGCACTAAAATCCAGAACTCGCTGCAAGGATCTTTAATCTATGACTGCTGAATGTCACGACCCAGCGCTGTTGGCAGTGTCGATCCCACCCCGTCAGGAAATGCAGCAGATCACAATGCTACCGCTATCTGACAAAACCCGTAATCCAAAAGAACCCCCCCCACAAAAAAAGTACCAATCTTATGGAAACATTATCAGCACCAATCATTATGCATAGTAACGTCTTGGAATCGAAAACAGCTGGATGCAGGGATGATCCATACATATCCCCTTGTAACAAAAAGAAAAGACCCAACCAAAACAAAACCATACAAAAAAGCATCATCAAAAACGCAAAGGCACAGCATCGAGCGGCAGGTTGAAAAAACCTAGCCTGGCAAGGAACCAAAAGGGCCCCTGAAGTCTACGATGCCCGAGAGCAACCTCAAACAGGGTTGACGTCACAACCAGAAGAAAAACATTTCTGAAACTGAAACTAACTTTAAAGCTGTGTCCTGTAAACAACAACTTTAAAAAAAAAGACTTCTCGACCCCTTTAAAGTTCAGCCTGGCCTGCAGCATCCAGAGTGCCCTCGGCTCCAGCATTTGCAGCAATGAAATGCTGCTGGACACGACAAGGGCAAAGGTGTTCAGACTGAGAACAACGAGAAAAAAAACGGCGCGAGGGCGAGAACAAACGAATTAGCCAAGAGCTGCGAGTGCTTCATGTGGTGAACTTCGCCCACCGCTTTGAACGTCCAGGAAGTGCCAGAAGTTCACACCAGCCTTTTCGGCATTTGCAAAGCTCACACCCTCCAAAGACAATGATCTCATATGATCTCAAGCACGTTGGCAAATCGAGGCCGGTCCAGTGAACTCCAGGTCAGTGACCAACTTTCTCCTTGAGCCTCCTGAATTCACCACGGACCTTGGCCAGGACGTGTTGGAACACGACCTACTCACTACATATCACTACATATATAAAAGGATCCAAAAGGATCCACAAGGAAGAAGCATAAACAGTACACACATATACACACATGAACGGTACTAAACGGTTGCGGTCCTTCCATATTCCTACAACTTTGATAATACACTGAGCCAATCCAAGTGACAAAGCTGATTTTCTCCAGGGGATGAGCTGCGACCGTCGCAAGGTTTGCACCTCCACGTCACGTGAATTATCTGCCGACATTGGCGTTTGCCCAAGTACCCCCAACGTGGATGCATCCAGTCCAGGAAGCTTACAAATGTCACAGGAAAGCAAGACAGGTCACTGGAAGAAAAGAAAGCACCCCCAAGTAGCCTTCAAAAGGAAGTAAACGAAAGAAATCTCCAGCGGAATTTGCAGGATACTCTGACATCTTGCAACGCCTCTTGCAACCCCTGCAAGGTGCCATGGCGCTTCAAGTTTCCTGCCGGAATCGGCGAAGAAAGCCCTGTGCGGTATATTCTCTGAAATGGCAGTCAATAATCTTCATGAGCCATCAGTTTTTCTTTTTTTTGGATTGTACCGGACCTACAATAGAAGCGCTCAATCTCTGCGCACTTCCTTACTGCATCTTGCTTTGTCAAGTCCAAATTGGCTCGCGTTCTAAAACCAGTTTGTACGTGACATCTTGGACGATATTCAAATGTCAACCATTGTCAAGCTACCAGAAGTGCTCATCACTGATCACTTACTTGTGTCATGGAACAATATCAAACAAGTGTTTGAGCCCAAGTCCATCCGAGCAAATGTCAAAATCAGGTTCAGTAGACTTTCAACAAATCAGCAACATTCTTTGTTGGAGCATGATGGAGCTTCATCTAATGCTGCTTCTTGTCACGTATTGATACTGAATTGGTCGTTGTTCCATGGATCAGTCATCCAGTCGGCCACTGGTTTTGGTCATTGTTTGAGTTTCTACCATTCATTTTCAGGGCAGCGGATTTCTGACACATATCACTGTTTCTGCAAGATAGATACCGATATGTCGTAGATTATTGTAACTGTATATTGACTATGGTCACCCGAAGTAGATAGAATATGCAAGCTGCGAAAAAAAACCAAGAACATGGGACTTGTTTCAGGATAATCATCTTGGCACCTTAAAGAGTCCCATCCAGGAAAGGAATCCAGATCCACCTGCCAGACTGGAAATTGAGGTCCCTGAGGTGGAAATTAATGAGACTGGATATGTATATATATATATGTGGAAAATATGGAAATATGAGATATGATTGGGCAGTTTGGAAATGTATGAAAATGACAACTTGCCACTTTTCTCGAAGATTGGCGAATCATTCAAGCTGTAACCCCTTGTTCATGTCTGTTTTGGAATGGTTTGCCTAATGATCTATGCCTTTTGGATGTGAGTTTTAGTTGGAAATGGGTGTCATGCGCAAATACAACTCACAACGCGTTCTTGAATTCAAAACTTTTCATACGCTGAAGCTCACATGTCACAAAATGTCACAACAAAATTGCCAATCTCCAAGAATCAAACCCCAACGGTGCCCACTGAACTATATCTACTGTAATGCCCGCATTCCTCCACAAACCAACCCCCAGGCGTCCAAGAGGCGTTGTCCACATCAACCTTGCCGGCGTATTGTCCATACCTTGGTCAGAAATTACTTGGGCTTTAACCTCTGAGCTGTTTCATGTTTCTTGGATAAGCCTTGGATGCAGTCTATTGGGTATGTACCCCTACTTGGGATCATTTATCGTAGTCTCTTTCTATGGTCGGCGATTTATTGTGGATCCCATATCGCTGAATACCCGCCAGGATTTTTCAGGCCGCCCCCTGTGTCATGGTTCAGACAAGATTCGCATCCTGAAAGGCTGGATCCTGCAGGGCATTTTTAGGTGTGAACGTGCAGGCCGTTGTCTGATGATGTCCCATGCACAATTTGAGATAGCATATGATGTATGACAGCATGATATAGTATGACAAACGTGAGAAGGGGGGATGATAAGTAGGTTTGGGAGTGTAGCCTGTGCATCTGTCCATCTGCATCCCAGATTGGGCATGCAAAATCTGAAAAATGGGGTACAAGAACTCAATCAAACAACCACAAAAAACATGCAGGCAAACGTGCAAGATTGCCTGGCTACACACAACACAGGCAAGAAAACCAAACCCAAACTCACGTGGCCAATCCTTACCCCCGACACATTCCTTCTTACAGGGGAAGGCGAAAGGCACGCCTAGTGAGGTAAAACCTTGTTTTCCGCATGTAACTCCGTAGGCACACCTCAGGTGCGCCTGGGCGCGCCTACACATGCACTTCCGCATGGAACCCCTGGTTTCAAGACAACTTTTCCAAGATTCTATATAATGTGCACGTTTTTTGTTAGTTTACAGTGGAACTCCGGCTCCAAAACTCATGTTTAGGCACAAGGATTGCATATCAAATTAACAATTCTGCTTGTGCAAATCACCATGGAACTGGCAGGTGGGGAAAAGATACCCTCACCTGGCAGGTAAAGAAAAGCCATCTGAACATAACAAAGCCACATCGCTGCAAAATCACCTTGCCCGCAATGAAACTCCGCATAAACATGTTTCCTAAAATATACTTTTTCCAACAAAAAAGCCGTGAAACCTAAAACACAATGGATTTGCCAGCAAAAGTGACCAATAGTTCGCTAAACATGAGGATATCTCGACTACAGATTCTTTCTCCCCAAGTAACTCCGGCTAGGCACGCCTTTTCGGACATCGTCCCCGCAGCTTAATAAAGGATTTTTATGCAACAGGCACGCCAATCATACCGCGTACTGTAGACAAGTAAAATGAACAACAATGCACGTGCAAGAGCTTAACTGGCCAGAAAACCACCCACAATTTGTAATTACACGACGCACTCATGCCCCGAGACGGCATGCCATGACCGCAGCATGAACACACAGTTCAAACATACACAAAACAAACACCGCTCACGTATAGGAAGTTCAATAATCTGAAATTGACTTGAACCAAACTCCAGAGACTCCAAAATGCATTCGTCGATCTGTCCCTCTGATTTGACACGCAAAATGCAAAACCATGCCGCACAACAGCTGAACCAGCCAAGAAACAAGAGCAAACACAGCCATCCCGGCAACCTTGCAAATTTGCCTGGATCGCTATTGATCGCTGACAAACCGCAAGGACTACAACGCACAAACGGTGCGAACAGACTCTTTGCCGCCCGTCATAAACCAAAGATGCCCAGCTTCCGCCATTCATCTGCCATTGTGGCCCCTCATACATCGATTGTGATGCATTATTCCATGCATTGGCAAAAAATCCAAAACAAACAGGTTTCATATGGATACTGATTGTATCTGTTTGTCACCAACTGGCCGATTCCATCAGAGATCAGTGCCAGCAACGATTCCCCATAAACCGATGAACAATGAAGGTTGATAAAACTTGTACAGATATGTATAATTATGTAAATATACTGTATATATATATACACATATCCCCACCATTGTTGTTTGCACCTCCCACAGCCTCTTTTTCCGGTTGGTGACATCTCTCATCCACAATCAACCACATTGAGACCAAGTTCCAACTTTAAATGGTTGTACTGTTTTACAGTCAAGCCATATTGTACAACCATTTCGAATTGTTCCGTTTTGATGTTACTTACCATATATGTAGCCGGCTATTTTGTACCAACAACTCCTCATTTTTGCAGTGGCCTCACCCAAAAACTGAGATTTCGCTCCTTCTTCGCTTCCTCTTCTGCCAAGACCCAACCCATACTCCTGGCACTGAACACATGGGGCTGGGTTGACCTGAAGAACAAAAAATCACAAGAGGGTTCAAAAAATACACTCATCAAAAAACACTGAAAATCTCTGTCTGTGTGTGAGCTTTCGGCCAAATATGTTGTGGCGGAATCTAGCCAACCAAACATGGGACGAACCTGTTGGTGGCAAGCTGAAATGGGCGCCAGAGCAAAGACACATTTTCGTCGTTTAAAAAGTCGATCATATGGTTGGCAGCCCGTCCCTCGCTATGAATCGTGTTTGACATGGTGAGCTGAATGTGCCATCTTCAAACCACCTTGTGTAGAGGTCATGGACAAACAAGATGCATACCACTAGAATAGCCAGCAAAACATCCAATCAGTCGTGATATTTTGATACATTTTGGGTATATTTAAAACATGTCTGAAAGGAGCTTACAATTCTCTCTTCACCATTGCCACTAAGTCTTGGAGAAACGCAATCACCTGCACACATCGGCTGAACAAATCCTCTTCTTCAGGGGCGCAGAGGACTCCCAGAGAATCCAATCCTGTGGAGCAATTGGCAGAGTTCGACCAACCCCGCCTGCGGTTCGGGCACCTGTGCCAAATTCAAGTTGATGGTGTTCATTCTATGAGAACCCGGTATGAGAGGAGGGCAAGATTTGTGGCTCATGAATGCTATAATCGAATAATTTGGTTGCTCCGCATGGATTTTGACGGTTTTCAAAATTAAGTCCAGTTCAACTTTGGCGGTATCTATATACGGTTGCCCTTATGGTATGGTGATGTATGTTGCAAGCCTAGTAGCTGGTAAGTGTAACACTTTGGTGTCCAGTTGTCCGTTTTCTCGGTTGGGGGGATCACGTAACGTCCCACATGTCACCAGAGACAGGGTTGTTGGTGTAGCCCCTGCTGTCTGATGGCCATTGGTCTATCCTAGCCCTATGAAACAGCGATCGATCAGTCATCAGCCCATCATCATTCCAAGAAGATCCAGGAGGGGACAGAACATTGAACAAGCCCAGTCTTGAAACCACCGAAATAATGGTTGGTTTTCACCTTGCAAATGGCCTCCACCTTTAACTGGCCGTACCACTGCAACCTCCAACAGGATTTGCTGATTCAGTCCTTCTGCCCAGCAAACTGGCAGTGGATGTTGTCCTGACGGGCCCTATCGAAGATTTCGTGCAGTCATTTGGACAGAAATCCACCTTGCAACAGTCAGCTTCTTCAAGAGACATGTCCTTTTGACTTAAACAGTTCTGCCTCACCTGCAGTGGTGCGCAAGGTCGCAAGGTAGATTTGTATGAACTTGAAGCGATTTGGGATGCTGAGGTGACAGGGTCCTGCCCATCTTGATGAATCACAGACTTGGTGCTGCCACTGCTCATCCACATCACTGTTGCAGCCTGCGAGTCCAAATCCGATGAACATTCTGCCCAGACGCCGGCTACAAGCACTTACATGCAAATCCTACAGCCATGTATAGATTACAGTAGATTATTTTCCCATTAAAGTCATTAAAACCTCCATTTATGGGATGGCCTAGCTTGGAAACAATTTTTATTTTTTTCTCATGATCATTGCAGCGGTGTCTTCATCCATCATAAGCCGTTGAGGACAAACCAGCCCCCCGAATTTCATCGGGATCGGTTGCGATTCAGCTGGGTGGTTGACCTTCTTGCAGGGGTCTCACCGCGGTGACCGAGCCCGGGACCAACTTCTTGGAATAGCCACCGCAGTTCATCACTGGGAGCAAGTACACCTCGCAGAGGCGTCGCGACTGCTGAGGTTGGCCTGGACCTTAAAAAGATTTAAAGCGGCTGAGACTTTGCCGGGATCATCCCACTTCTATAGGGATTAAACAAACGAAAAATGACAGATGTTGAAAGCCTCATGCAGTTGAAACACCATTTGGTAGGTGGATCTTGGTGTATGTTGGTGGATTCATCCCCATTTCGTCTCCCAAATCACCATCTTTATTGATGCTTGCGCGGGGATGTTCGGTTGTCGATACTTTGTTTGGGTGTTGGGTGGTGCGGGGTGGAGGTTGGGAGGGCGGGGAGGGTGGTATTGCATCATGTTATAATAACGTTCGGAAAAAGTTGCTTACATTGCTGATGATATGTTGTCTATGGTGTTCGTAGGTTCATGTTGTGGTGAATATAGGCTTGAAATTACGTGGAGAACATGTTTCTGAAGTCACGTTGTCCGTGGTCTTTCATGCGCTTCCAACACGTTTCATACATGTATTATTTCATTTTCTGAATTTTGAATATGCAAATTTAAAAACATATTATGAAATATTATAGTTTGCTTTGCATATTGTTTTTCACGTTGAACATTATATATATACTGTGGAAGTTCGCTTATGAATGGTCTTAGCTTTTGTTTTTTCACAAGAACATACCGTGGAAGCGCGGTGTTGAATGTTGTACCTCTTTGGAGCTGGCAAAAGACACCAAACGACTGTGAGCGCTTTCGTTTTAACAGTGCTGCAACAAGTGACACTTTTCAAAAAACAAGACGTAGATAGACATAGCAAAATTTAGCAAAACTGGAGAACACATGGAAAAAAAGGTTCTAAAATCCAGATCAAAAATCAATGGATCTATGAAGCCCCCAGCATCCAACGTCCGCCCTGTTTCGGTCCGCCTCATGGGCGAGAGTCTGCGGAGTGGTGGCAGTGGAGTAGAGCCTTGGCAGCTGAAGGATGGCCCAAATAACATATATATAAGTAAAATCGGTCACAACCAGTAATTATATTCGCGAAGTTGATGACCAATAGGGGGATGCCACAAACCAGTGATTAGCGAAGTTTAATGGCAATGTCGTTGTATATTCAAGATACCAATGCAATGCAAATGCAGCCCAGTGATTGCGAAGGCTAGCACACTTTTATGCGGGCATCTTGAGCCAAATATCGTTGGCCAAGTCTTGAGTTTTCATCCCGGATTTCAGGATAAAAGAACATGTTATCATTGACAGATAACCTATTGATTCGTCTATTCCGTGCTGACACCAACTGACATCTTGTACACTTTACAGTCATTGGATACAACATCATAGATACTCATGCAAAGGTGAGGAGTTGATCGAGTATTTTCATCTCCCCCCTCTCGGGAAACTACGAATTTCATCCACATCCATCTTCAGGTGCTCGTGCATATGGAAGGATACGCTGTGCTTTCTTCTTGCGTTTCTTCATAGTTGCCTTCGGCATTGACTTTGGTCCTGGTTGCACTTCACCATAGCTAGGTCCTAGCGCTTCATCCAGATTCTCAAAGTTCATTTTGAGCCCCGTCGATGAGGTATGCAGAATCTTGTAGTCCCCTAAAATGCTGAGAAGCTTCATGGCGTTTTCCCACAATGGACCAGCTACTGCTTTAGTGAACACATCAGCCTTTTGGAATAAAGTGTTAACCAGCATCAACTCAATATCGGGTTGATTCAGCTGCTCACTCAACGATGCCAAGTGGATTTTCTGTGTTCTCCGAAGATGCCTTAGTCTCTTGCTGTAACCTGCCAAAACAATCTTTGCCGTGGCCTCGTTGTCCTCGCGGACACGTAGTTTGACATCCCGTTGCAGAAGCTGTTTCCAGAGTTCTAACATAGAAAGCCCCTCTTCGTACAAGACGTACGAAAGTGCTACTGTTTCGGCCTCCGTTGTCGACCTTGCAACAGTGCTCTGCTTTTTAGACAACCATGCAAGTGGAAATTGCGTTGACGGTCCAGATAATTGTATCCAGCCGCCACTGGTTGAATAACAATCTTCATCGTCTCCGCAGAAATCTGCGTCAACGAACATCTCTACAAAGAGCTCTTCTGGTGGGTCATTGATCCATCCTGTAAGCATGTTCTCCTGACTATGATATAGATAGCACATTACTCTATGAAGATGAGCATCACATGAACGGCTCCACTTCTGCACCTTAGTAGCCAACCAAGTAGTTGCCCTGAGCACATCTGGTCGCGCAAGGCGCGAGATCCACATTAGCTTCATCAAGACTGAACTTGCGGAAGAAGCCAACTCACCAGTCGCTTCATCATCGTCAAGATGTTCGGCAACCTTAGCTAGGAAAGGTGTGTGTGCTTTCTTGAAAGTCTTGGTGTTGGTAATGTTGACATAGTCCTGGATGGTATCACGTGCATATGCTCTCATATCAAAGGCAAGTTGTTCATGTCCTGCATGAGATACAGTAGTGTGATGTCTTCCCAAGAATCTTCCCAAATCACCAATGTCTTCAATCATGATTCGCTTCGACAGCTCTGACCAGAAAGCATCATGAAAATCACTATCACCACTCAAAAGGAAATCATCTACATACACCACCAGTGCAAGATGACCATATGAGGGAAATGTGTATGTACTTGGATACTCTGGTACTCGAACTGCTCCCATGTCAAGGAGTTCCTGTTCTAGCTTTCGCTCCCAATGAGCTCCAGCCTCAGGATGGCCATACAGACTGCGAAGCAGCCTGATGACTGGACGTTTGTATAATGGCCGTCCCTGTCCATCAAACCATGATTCCGGCCAAACCTCACGTGGAAGTCGAACCCATGTCTCAGCCAATGATTTGAGTAGGCTTTGCAAGTATGCTTTCACTGCGTCGGCGGATGTGATTTTGTGCCCTTTCATCAGTCCATAGGAAATGATGGCATTGGCCGCCGTGATTGATGCTGGTGAAGCACTCATAGTCTGGTACAGTGCCAAATTACCCTTCTCTGTACGAGCTTGGTCTCCTCTGTAACAAACTCTACCCTTCAATGACCTGTATTGAGGTTCTAACTCCACATGCTTCTCTGAACAAATAGCCAAAAGATCAGCCAAATGAATCGTATGCCCACTTTCAACAGCTCTTCTTTTTACTGTCTCTTCTTCTTCAACCGTTTCCAAGTCCCAAGTTCCCATTGCACCTATCCCGTCAAATTCCTTCTTGATGGCAGCTATCGCATCTTCGCGCGACAAAACCTCAGAACGTGGAAGCTGTCGGGTGACAAGCGCTGGAAGGCGTTCGCCCTCGTCATCAGACCTTGGTGGACATTCAGGAACATCTTCTTCTGGAACTGGATCGGGAGCTATAGATGGCTCATATTCGGTCTCTTCCCCATCAGCAATTGGTTTCGGTGTCGGCCCAACAGCCTCACCACGAATCGAAAAGATAGCGTCAAACCAGGCTTTACACTCATCTGAATGTCTATTGTGACCCATTGCACACCCGGAACAACCTCTTGTGAAACCATGCTTCAACAATCTAGCCCATGTAATGTAGGCATGTCGTTGCGGTGGAGGCTTGCCTTCAATGGGAAATGCATCAATTCCAATATCATGTGGAAGAACGCCTTCCGTGAAAGACCTGTCATAGATCTCCTTGGCGATCTCTCGTTCTGGGTCTGACATGTTGAGAAGTGCTTGTTGTGCAGCCCTCGCCAGTGGAAATTCAATCCGATCTGTTGGAGGAAAATAAACTTCTTGTGCCTGAATCTGTTTAGGGACCCAATATAGATGTGATCTAGTTCGTAGGGCTTCATAGTCGAGGATAAGAAGGCTACCCTTGTAACGCAAACCTGGTGACACATGCCATCCTGCAAAAATGCCTGGTTTGGTGTTTGGTTCAGAGATGCCACCACCTTTCGACTTGTAAAATATCAATGCCCCCAAAGGATAACGTGGCCCAGTGAAAGCTTGCCCCGTTGCTATCTCAAATCTAGTCTTGCCCTGTTTCAGTTCAGCGGTTTCTGTGCCGCGCTCATGACGCAACACCGGACTGAGTCCGAAAAATGTCCTTGCTTTCGCTGTGAAGTCAACAGACAGTGGCCACAACTTCCTGTGAAACCCTGCAGCTACATGTGCTGGCCTAGCCAGTTCCTTGATAGCTCTGACCTCACGCTCACAGTTTGCATTGTGGTGCCAAAACCCCGGCACTGATGGATCTGGAATCCAACCAAGTCGCGAAGCAGCACCTGTGAGCTCCCTTGCATTATCTGAGACAAACAGCACACCCTTTTTGCCTGAAAGATACTTGCCAGCAAAATGACGGAGTGATTCATAGTTGGCCTGTTCATTACGTTCACTTTGAGGATAAACCAATACAGCACCTGAGAATCTATCTCTCACCACCAGAGCTGACTGTTCATCTGAAAGCCCCTTCGCCTCTTGTGATGGGAACATGTGGTCGGCCTCAATGATATCCCCAAAAGTAGTAGCCCTATGTATCAATCTATCATCATCCTCATCGTCAATCTGTCTTGCACGTTTGCAGTATCTCTTCAACATTCTACCACGTTGACAAAACTCACAAAATGGGTTCTTCCTGTCATGGAGTGTCAGGTGTTCTAAGGATGTTGCCTCTCGCCTCAGTCTGTCATCTCTGGTTTCATGGTCCTCAGCTTCATCATCCGCTGGCTCTTCGTCAGAACCTAGACGAGCCGCAGCAGCAAGAGGATCTACTGACTCAAAGATGAAACAATCATTTTCTGGCTTTTCTTTGGGTTCATGTTCTCGATGGACTTGTGGTGCATCTGAAATTGGGGAAACCGGCATGGCTGGAGCATGTTGTGCCATGATGTCTGGGTAGAGTGCGTTCATGACGTATTCACACATCAATCTTGGGTAAAAACCAGTGTATCGCGTCCTTGAACCTTCTATTGGCGCATGTTTGAACTCCTTTGGATGGTTGCACCTCAGCACATTGAAAATTCTGGCTGTACGATTGTCTGAAGTAACCAATCGCCACTTCTTCAAATGCAAACCTCCATTGGTATCTGTCAACCCCACTTGGCATCCATCAAAATCGACAACCATCATGTTCAAGTCTCGAATCAGATTCTGTAATTCCTGATCAGACCAACCCACGCAGTGTCGTGGCCATTCGAACGTAACACGTCCGCCATTTCGCGCAACAGCGCGGGCCAGCTTGCAAAAATTCTTGATAAGCAGCCTAGATTTCTGTCTTCTGGCTTCCAGCTCATCTGCAAAAGCTTGACCATATTGATGGATGTTAAGGGTTTGCCATTGAGACCAAGGATCACATGGTAAGGAGCCCCAAAGATCTACCCCAGGTTTCGTTTCCACAATGTTGAGCAAAACCTTCATTGTTCCCTTGTCTTCTACATTCAGATGACTCTCAGAACATCGAATCACATGAACTCCAGAATCCTTCCCGACTCTGCCCATCATAGAATCATCGGCCGTGCAGAACTCGATCAAAGTTCCATGCCCAGCTAGTCCTGGAAGATGAGGTTCAGGAATCGCCACTTCTGCAGCACTGTTGTGAAAGTCCTGTAACTCCTTGGCAATGCTGTGAGAAATGGTTTGATATAGTTTGGATGTTTGTTCATCATGTTGAGTGGCACGATCATGGTAAAAATCTCTGAGACCACTCATCATTGTTTCAACGGCAGTCGCCCCCCTATCAAACGCTTTCGACGTCATAGATGTTGGTTTCTCACTCTTCAATCTTTCCCATTTCCTACGTCTGTTGTCCTTTCGATGTTGCCTTCGACGCTGAACAGCATCATAGGCCAATGGATGAACTGCAATGTCACTCACATCAACTTCTGGTACTTGACACTCATCTGCAAGGTCGCGCACCGGTGCGAGTTGTGCACCAGCGTCATGAGCTTCATGTTCAGTGGTGTCAAAATTGTCCAAACACTCTACAGCAGTATCATGACATACGCAAGCAAACTGTTTTT